TCTATTTCTGTGTCTGGGCTCTTCCAGTGCCCTTGAAGTTAATTATTCATCATCTGGGCTTAAGGCCCTGACCACAGGGGTGAGATCAAGAATACTAAAAAGATGCTGACAAGGCCTCTTTTAGGCAAACCATGGGCTGCAGGACATACACATAGAACTGACTTACCTGGAAACCCCTCTCACTGCAAACAGCCTGAGCAGAGCACTGGGAATCTTGAAATTCAGCCCACCATTCTATCTCAGGTGCCCAGGGGACCTGGCTGATCTTCAGCCCCTCTCTGGTGTCAGAGGAGCTTTCTTCTACACTGCGTGGGGGATCACCTCTGTGGCACTGAACACCCTGATAGCCAGATACTGGGTTTTTTTCTTTTCTTTTTTTAATTTATATTTTTATTGAAGAATAATNTTATTTCCACCTCTGCATGTGGTCGTCCACTGGGGTTTGCTCCTGAGGCTGCCCTGGAGGACTTGGGTTTGCCCCTGTGAGGCCAGGTGTGGAGGAGGTGCAGGGTTCTGACACCACGAGGTACTCAGGGGGGTTGGCAGCTAGGGCAGCAGGAAATACAGTGATCTAGAAGGGTATGGCGAGCAGTATTGGCCAATATGCTCCAGTATTCTTGCCTGGAGAATCCCCTCTCTGACAGAGAAGCCTCTCTGACAGGGTTGCAAAGAGTAGGACTGAAGCAACGCTGCTCACGTAGACACAAGACTTTTTTTGCCTGCGGCAGCTCTGCCCTGGTGAGAGTTGAGCATGAAGGTGGTGTAGCTGCTTGACCTGCAGGGATCCTGGCAGCACCGAGTGTGCAGGGACACGGGCTGCCTCCACCACAGGAGGTATGGCCCATCACAGTCTTTTTTCGAGCCTCTTACAGCCTGCGATCAGAAGGCGTCTTCGGCCAGTCTTTCTCCAGAGCTCCGCCCATTCAGGCACTTAGAGGGCTCCCTTGCCTGGGGTCCTTCTCTGTTTTTCGGCAAGTCAGGCACATAGAGGGGCCCCCTGGCTGGGGTCCTACTCGGCAGATCTGCACATCAGGCACTTAAAGGGGCACCCTGGGTGGGTTCCTACTCTGTAGCTCAGTGAGTCAGGTGTTTGATGGACCAGCCTCTCTAATGTTCAACTGCTGATGCTGGCTTGTGTGTGTGTGTGTGTGTGTGTGTGTGTGTAGGGGGAGGCAGGGGAGAAGCTATGGAGATGGCTCCACCCCCTAACGCGTGACTCAGCAGTATCGCCTTGCTTCCACAGCTGCCTGGCATTCCTCCACAGGCATTTCCCCCCACAATCTCCTTCCTCACGTCCTCTCTATCTGGCTCTCCACAGTCAACAGCAGCCCTCTCCCTGGGATTGCGCCACAATCCCCAAACTCCAGCTCCCAGCTGCTGTCCCTTTCAGGGGACCCACGTCCCTGTCTGGGGTATGTATGGCTGTAAGGACTGTCTGATTCTCATTCTATTTAGGCTGCCACAGATCAGCTGTTTCACTCTCAGCCTTAAATGTTTCTCCTCTGGCTCAGACAACTGCCCCGATGTGGGCATCGGACCCCTGCTTCAGTTCCCCCACCTGTCAAAGGCAGGTCCAGTCCTACTAATACTCCTGTTTTCCCCCCTAGTTCCTTCATCCTCCCGAGGTTTGCGTGGGTCTATATATTCCTTTCTGCTGGTCAGGTCCTCCTGTCTGCTCTCAGCTGCTGTTCTGATGCACTTCTGTGTCTGGAGGTGTATTCCTGATGTATCCGTGGAGAGAGATGTGCTCCACGTCCACCTGCTCCCCACCATCTTGCGGCAATTCAGATCCTGGGTTCTAAATCCTGTTCCCATGCCGAGGTCTCATGGCTCTTTGGGAGGTTGACTGATATTAGCTCTGGGGCAGGGACCGCACAAGGTGGGTTGCGGCCATTTCGTGCCAGAAAGAAAGAAATACTCAAAGATTTTTGTGGCAACTGGAGCATCAAAGAGCATAATGATTTTAGTTGAGCACAAAGAACAATAATACATCCATGGCTCATTGTGATCACAGAAAAAAGAAAGAAAAAGACAAAGACTCAAACAAAAGGAAAGAAAGGAAGACAGAAACAGAAGGAGAAAGAGAAGCCCATCTCTCACCATTATAGGTGAGCATGATACCTTTTTAGAAGTCCTTATTGGTCTCAGGGGGTGACGCAAGCTCTTCTTCACAGAAAAAGGTCCATGTGAAAAGAAGGAGGGACTCAGGCCATGTATCTGCAGCCCTCAGTGAGGCACTGATTCAGGCCAGGACCACTACTGAGACTACAAGTCCAGGTTCCTGGGGACTGGGATATTCATGGGGGCAGGAAGCAGCCCCTACAGACCTATTCACAGGGCAGAAAGCATCACCTTTAGGATAAGTTGGCAATTACATGAGTAAATACAGTTCTTTGGGCAGAGATCTAGCACTCTTTCTGCCCTAGCCTTCCAGGCCCCTCTCTCTTGGTCTTAGAGGTCACAGCCAGTGAGTATGGTCATCCCTGTGGGGTGGGGGACAGTCCATGTCATTGGAACTGGATCCCTGAGCGATGCCTTCCTCTGCACAAAGATGCACCTCTTCAGTGCACTGGGCAGGTCCCTGGGAGAGTCTGACCCTGCCCTTGGGGAGTGGGGTGGATGGCCTTGGAGCAGTCTCTGAGCCACTCAGTCTCCTCACCTGGAATAACATCCCTGTAAACTCTGGACAGCTTAGAAATAAACATAGTTTAGAAATCTGTCTCTTGTTCCCCAGCATTTCTTTGTCTTCAGTGAGGTCTGAGATAAACCAAACACTACTTAGCGACTGGGGGCCCTGTGGCCTTGAACACTGCCCATGGAAGACTTTCTGATGGCCAGTGGGAGCAAGGTTCCCCCAAGTCTTGGTGCTGACAAAAACAAGTTGGATGAGCACATGTAAAAGAAACCAGTCACACACAAACATACGTACACACCCCGCCCCCCGCCCCCTCCCAATCTGGGGGCTAAGTGTAGAACAGCAGGAAGGACCCGGCTTACTCAGCTACTGCCGGTGGGGAAGGGACAGGGCGTGGTGGTGTGGTGGTGATGGTTGGGTGTGTGTGTGCTTGTGTGCCTGGCTTGGTCTGAGCTCCTATGTCACCTGCTGAATTAAAAACATAAAAGGGCAGATCTGGTGATCTGCTGCAGAAGGTAGGGAGACTAGGATGAAGATGCCAGGATGTCAGATGTCTGTCTGATCAGGTCCCATCACATCCTCTCTCAGGAAGCCACGCAGCTGCCTCCATGCTGCTGTGTCACCTTGCACACCCATGAGTGCAAATGTGATGACTTGATTTACACAGCACGTCATGCCCCTGGACCACTTAGCCTTCAGCTCTCCTCTGCTGCAGGCAGGCTTGTTATCATCAGTCCATCTCACAGAGGAGTAAAACAGGTGCAGAGAGTTCTGGGAACTTGCTTAAGTTATAATGGCTGGGAGTGTCTTCTGAACCCACATTCATTCTACACTCCAGAGCCTTCACCCAGCCCCCGGAACTTCGGCCAGCTTCCTGAGCACATCGCTTCTCGCTCTTGACCTTCCATGCCGCACCACTGGCCCAGAGTGGACTCAGGCCCTCCGAGTGCAGTGCAGCCCTCCCGGCTCTCCATCTTCTCTCTCCCAAGAATGTGCTGATTCACTCTGCCTGCGGCCCGCCGAGACAGCTGCTCCCTACTCCCCAGAAACCCAGGCCTCGGTCTCTGCCCCCACAATCACTGCCTGCAGTCAGCACTCAGGAGATGCTGGTCTTAGGGGTTTAGAGGAATGAGAGGGACAGCGAGCTCTTCCTGGGAGAGGGGAACAGGTGTCTTTACCTCAATGATTCAATTAAGACATAAATCAAGCTGAAGGGCACACCTCACCAATGGATCACCATTGGATCATCAGGCCACGCTGCTCAATAGCATTTTTGTACAGATTCTGTGGCTCAAGGAGGCCACAGGTGAGAACTGGGAAGGAAAGAATTACACTCACAAAGGAGCCCAAGTTCAGTGCTGAACTGGTGGGCCTGGCTGTACCTCTCAGGCTCCTGGGAAATGACCTTGTCATCTTGATAAAACCATGAGCAGGTCCATCTTGTAGGACAAATTCTGTTGGGACCTTTCAAGGCCAGATCCAGGAAACATCCAGTCTAGAAAGTCCCCTTTCAGCCTGGCCTCCCTAGGCACTCCCTGCTCTCTGGGGGTCTCTGGTGCCTTGGCAGGGGGGCTCAGGGCAAGCCAGGCCTGAGTGGGCAGACCCTCCTCATCCCTACTAAGGCTGCCCCCACCCCTGGATCCTCCCAGCATGGCTGCCCCCTCCTGCCTCACAACCTGAATGACAGGGAATTAGAAACACACAACTGAAGGGCTCTGACAGAAAGGGGAGGTGTCAGAGGTGCCTGGCAGCTGTGTCCTGGTCAGACCTGGGCCCTGGGATGCTGGGGTCCTGCCAGGCTCTGGAGCTGAATGCAGGACATTGAGGCAGGGGAGGAGGAGGGTCAGAGGTCGGGGGAGGTGGTAGCTATGAGAAAAATGTCAGTGAGCACAGAGATTTTTCAAGAGCAAAGAAGACCGTTTCATGACTAAATGAAGAATTGCTACTGGCCAACCAGGACTTCTCTGGTGCTGGGGAGGGACAGGCTGGTGTGGGCTGGCCTGACCCAGTTCCATGCCTGGGAAGCCAAGGGCATCTCCATATGCACCTCAAAGAGAAACTGCCTGCCTCTCATTGCTAAGCTATCTACCCCTTTGAATAAACCTCTAGGTTTGTGTGTTTTCATTACAGGAAGCAGTTGTGATGGCCTCTGCTGGTCAGAGCGAGACTTGAGGAAATAGCCTGGTTGGCATTTATAAGCCTCTCAGTGCAGCCACGCCACTCACCGCAAAGACCCTGTCCCCTCCAGTCTCCATCACAGAGGACCGGCTGTCTCACGTCGAGGTCAGACACGGCAAGGTGGGGAGGGCAGGGCCAGGACATAGGCCAGGGCCTTCAGAGCCCGCCTTTGCACACTCTTACTGACCACTGGTATGGCCGGCCCGGTTGTCCTCCTCCACATGGAGCATGGAAGTGGTCTTTTTGTGGATGCCCAGAGTCAGGGTTTGATTCATGTGTCTGGTTTGGGGCATGATCTGGGCTATGCGGCGATGAGTCCCTGGATGAACCCCTGCCCCACACGGGAAAAGAGCTCTCTTCACACCTGGTTTGTGTAGACAAGCATAGGTGATGTCACTCTCCCAGGAAGGGGTTGTTTATGAAGACACTGAGGCCATGGGGGTGAGTGACTCACCTGAGGTCAGATCAGGGTCCCAAAGCTATGTGTGCCCTGAAGTCCAGGGTTAGTTCCCACAGGAAATTAGGCACTTAAGGTGGTGTCCTCCAACTCGATCTCTGCTCTTCCAGGGCCAAGCACCCCATTCCCATGGCCAGTGACGTATTATCCCTGAAAACATTTTATTTTTTTTTTTTATTAAATATTTTTTAATTGACTGGAGAAGGAAATGGCAACCCATTCCAGTATTCTTGCCTTGGAAATACCATGGACAGAGGAGCTGGTGGGCTAGTAGGGTAATCCATCGGTTTGCCAGAGTCAGACATGACTTAGTAACCAAACCACCACCACCAGCATTTTGAATTGGCACCAACAGCACAATGGCACAAAACTCAGAGTAAGCAAAAAGGCATATGGTGAAAACCTTCTCCACCCCTGTTTCCAGATACTCTTCTCTGGAGATAGCCATTTTCTTGAATATCTTTCTAAAGATAGTTTTACTTGGTTAGCAAATGCATCTATAAAGATTCTCAGCATTGGTTTCTTATGAGAGTTCTCTGTCTGGCTTATAACAGCTGCCTTCTTGCTGTGGCTTCTTCACATGGCAGAGAGGAAACAAGCTCTGTGTCTCTTTCTCTTCCTAAAAGGAATGATAAGGGTTGATGATGAGGGCTTTACCCCATGGCCTCATGTAACCTGAACCACTTCCTTAAAGGCCCCATCTCCTTATACAGTCACAATGGGGGATAGGACTTTAACATATGAATTTTGAGGGTAACACAATTTAGTACATAACACTTGTTTCCATCTTTGGCTCTAGTTAAATACAAAACCAAGGATTAGGTGACCATGGATTTAGCATGTTTGAACCAGCTCATGCTAGCCATGGAGACAAAGCAAGACCTGGTTGCTTGGCTCTTTGGTCTGACCTCCACTTGACATACTTGCTGCATTGGGGCTGACTGGCCATTGTCCAGCTCTGCTGGGGTATGAAACAGTGCAACTTCATATGTCTACTTAACAGCTACAGATGTAGCGTGTCTTGGATGTGTTTCTTGTTATTTCTGATGAACAGTTGGTTTCTCCAGAAATTGCTCCAAGATTTTTGTGCCTCAAATCTCATTTGTTGCAGCAGAAATGGAAATGACATTTTAATGATCATGGCAAATGGAACCCTAATCTTTACCTTATTAGCTGCCTATTTTTTAAATGAGCTGCATATGCAAGCATTCTTTCCCCCCTGCATGTGCAAGATACACATCAACATTTTCCAAACCCTCTGTGAACCATTACACTATCTTGTCACCTTGCCAGTGGACTTGCTGCAGGGTTAATAAACTTCAACATTAGCTCAAGAACAATTTGTGTTAAGAAATATTTCTTCAACACAATTACTAAAAATCCTGCAGCATCATCAGTCACACATCATTTCACATGTGCAAATTTACTGTAGAGTACACTACCAGATATGTGTGCAATGGATGGTGGTTTGACAGCTAGCATCCTTTCTACCCTCCTTTTATTTTCAAAGACTGGAAAGTGAATGAATTTCCTGCCTCCCTTGCAGCTAGAGTTCTAGATGTGAACTGGGTTCTGCCTGGTGGTGTGCTGGTAAATATTTAACAACAAGCTCTCCAAAAATTTTTAAAAAGTAAACCCTAGATTGTAATGCCTGCTCATTTCTCTGGTGTAACAACTCCCACCATGGTCAATTTCAGTCAAGCTATTTATATGATGTCACTGAATGTGGGGCTGGGGTGAGCTGGCTCTAGCACATGCCCAGCTCTGCCAGTTAGTTGCCTGTCACTGTGATTTGAGTTCAAGTGCATCCTCCTGATGCATTGGGATATTCCTGCAAGCAAGCAAAGTCGTGGTGGTTGTTTCTCCCGCAGGGGCATGCCAGTGTTCATTCAGTTCCTTTGTGTGGCTGCGAGGCATGTGTAGGGCTGCAGCAGTGACCCCCTGACCGCCACCTGCCTCGTGGGGCTGAGGCAGCCAGTCCCCAGGCATTTTCCTGGGCATCACTCCAACAGGCCTGGCCTGTGTCTGTTCCTCCAGCCCTCTCAATAAAACTGAAAGCTTCTAATTTCCTGTCTAAGCTCCTTTTTGCTTAAAATTGTTAGAGTGGTTTCTGTTTCCTGTAACTAAATCCTGGCTGATATAAATTAGAATCTGAAACCATTTTTTTTTTCTTAGAGCATGTATACATTTTTCTCAGGCCTGTTCCCTAATCTGTCTGTGCTGAAGGACTTTAATGAGCTGTGCAGTCCTGGAGGACAAAAATGAGAATGCTGACCCTGATGAAGCTTAGTAAATCTAGGAATTCTGGAGGGAAGTGTCTGAGCACACTGAGAAGGACAGGACCGCCTTCTAGAGTTTGCGAGCGTCTGCCTCTCACAGCACCTTCCCCAAGCCCTGCTGAGACTGGCTGCATTCCTGCGGCAGAGGCTAGGCTGTTGGATGCAGTGCCACTTGGGGAGAGGCTAGATTTTCTTAGCTTTATATAACCAGGCACAAGTCAAGAGAGTGAATCATTTAATTGTTACACTAAATGCACTTTGAGGCTGACCTGAATTTAGGGTCTCTCTTGATTTACCCTTAGGCAGGACTCATCTCTGGGGAGCAAACTACTCCTGAGGTGATATGGAGAAAGAGGGATGTATGTATAGATGATTCCAGCAGCCTAGTGAGGGGACCTGATACCCTGTAGAGGCATTCTTTAGACTAATTAAGAAATACCCTCTTTGTTCAAGGCAAATACCTCCTGAGAAAGGAAACTGGATAACCTTTGGGTACCTTAGTGTGCCTGAATTCCCAGTTTTTTCCTAGGTTGACAGTAGACCCTGGGCTGAGAACAGTTTCCTGGGAGCACGGCTGAGGTAAACCTGTCAGTAGAAAGGTGGTTTGGGGTCGACCCATGGAACTTTTGAGACAGACCCGTCTGGATGGGGTCCCATGGCTGGAGAGCTGGGCCCAAAATCAAAGTGGCTGAGAACTGGGGTCTAGCAGACCTGGCTTTTAGGCTCTGTCTCCTCCAATTAGCCCTTAGACAAGTCATTCACCTCTCTGCACCTCTCTTTCCTCATTTGTGAAATAAGGATTATAATCTCTAACCTTATAATTCTCCTGAGGACTGACTAAAATAAAAACTACAAAGCATTAAAGGAACAGGAAGTATAGGCAGTGAACCATGGGCAGCCTGTTGGGAGCCGTCTTCCTAGGTTTGGGCAATAAAGGGGAGACTTCTGTAGAGAAAGGAAGAACAGTGAAGTCTGCCCAGTCAGACGGCAGTCTGTATTTAAATCACTGGGTATGATAAAAATACTTTGGCCACCTGATGTGAACAGCTGACTCATTGGAAAAGACCTGGATGCTGGGAAAGATTGAAGGCAAAAGGAGAAGAGAGTGGCAGGAGATGAGATGGTTGGATGGCATCACTGACTCAATGGACATGAACTTGGGCAAACTCCGGGAGACAGTGAGGGACAGCAAGGCCTGGTGTGCTGCAGTCCATGGGGTTGCAAAGAGTCGGACGTGACTTAGCAACTGGACAACAACAATAGGATAAGATACTTTGTTGGTCTAAATTCTAAACAGTTGCTAGGGTTACTATGAGTATATATTATGTGCTACAGATTAGCATGATTTAATTTCTTATCCTTTAATAAAGTTTGTAGTCTACATGAAAGTTAATTTGGAGGATTCCCAAGTATTCCTGGGTGGCGTTAGTGGTAAAGAATCTGCCTGCCAATGCAGGAGATTCAAGAGATGTGGGTTTGACCCCTCGCTTGGCAAGATCCCCTGAATTAGAAATGGCACCCCACTCCAGTATTCTTGCCTAGAGAATTCATGGGCAGAGGAACCTGGTGGACGACAGTCCATGGGGCTGCAGAGTTGGACATGAATGAGCAACTAAGAGCAAATCACAGGATACGGTCAGCCCAGAAACATGCTGTCCAAAGTAAGCTGTCAGAGATTGGAAGCCATTTGAGACATAACTTGTGTCTCTAACCCAGGGGTACTGTAAAGTCCTTCATTTAAACTGCAGATTTGACAAATGACAATAGTACAGTGACTGGAAAGATTAAGATCCAGAATTTGAGTTACTTTAATTTTGCCATTCTATGTGACCACTGAAGATTTTGTTTTTAAAATTTAAACCAGTACAACAGCACCAACTGCAAGGTAAGCGCAAATTTCAGTTCATATACAAAATATTTTACTATGTATGAATAATATCTTTAAAATTGGAAGATATACTTCTTAAAATTATTAAATGGAAGCTATTAATAATAGGGTTCCACATGTCAGAAATCTGGAAGTTGCCACTCTATCCTAACAAGTAAAAAGCTGAACAAAATGAAAAGTCAACAACTGTTCTTGGATTTGTAAAAGAGGGAGATTTGTAAAAGACATAAAGCCAGTCACTGCCCCCAAGATTGGAGAGACAGAGGTGAACACAAGGAGCCACAGCTTCTCAGGGCAGAGACACACGGTTGGAAACTATCATGATCAGTGCCAGAGTAGGAAATCTGAGTTATAACTCATGAACTGCTGAAAGCCCTGTGTAGACAAGTCTGAGAATTAAAAACTTCAGCAGACCAGCCCCACTGTACTAAGACTAACCTCTAGGAGTCGACCAGGTCCTCATCGTATCAGAAGGAAAAAAAGAAAAATCCCCTTGTACTTTTGGTAGTGGAGGGGAAAGGGAACCATTATGAAATATGCCCAGAGCACTCTGTTCTTCTTAACAAAATCTGCCCTAGAGTAAACTAGTGAGCCAGAATTTAGGCTGCTGGGGGTGTTATCAGTGCCCAGCTGACCCTGGGGGAGGGGTCA